GTAATATCCAAAAAACAGTAATGCATTAGTTACTGATTACTAATGAATACATAATCTATCTATGCAACACCTCTTTGTTGTTTCTTACCAATAACATGACAGCTGATGCCAGCGAGCTCAAACAGAGGGGCAACCAGAGAGTGGTAGATCTTTCTTCCTTTCTTCTTCCCGCCATATGGGTTGATAAACACTAACAGCCTGTTAGGCCTCACCGGACCTGAAGAATACATTAGCAAATATGTTATTGAGAGCCATAAACACTCTGGAGGATTGGAATATGACTTTTTGAATATCCATCCATACTGTGAGTTTTGAGAGCAGCTCTAAGGTGTTTGGTCCACTGGTCTCTGAGCACCCGACTGGGGACGCTGAACTGGGTTCGGCCCAGTGTCCATAGTAACCCATAAGAGCTCCCAGTGCTGCTGCGCTTCACGTAGAAAACTGTAGATAAATGTTAGATAAAAAAACAAAACCATGCTGTAAAACCATGATATCGCCATGTGGGAGACACAGGCACATATTTGAATACATTGCAAAACCAGTGTATGCAAATGACTCATGTTGTCATATATTTTTAAACTCCATGGCTATGTGTAAAATATGGTTATTATTTACTTAAGCCTTGACTGTGGCCTTGGTTTCTTTGGGATATCTGAGAGTGTTGCATGAGAAGTTGAACCCACCTGTAAAGACTTTGTCTGTGTCTTCGATTGACTTCTGGGGCAGGATCTCCACCCGACCCTCCTCCACTCCAACCACCTCAGCCACAGGCACTGAAACTTTAATCACACAGCACAGACTTCAGCAGACGGGCTTCTTTGCATACAATGAATAGAACATTTACTGGAAAGTCCTTTAGACCTTCTTTAGAGCAGATACGTTTACATGTGACAGTAGGGGGCCAAAGCAAAGGTGTAACATAACAGTGGCTGCATCCTAACACACTCAAGGTCAAGGAAATGCAGAGATATAACTAAAATATTAATGATGACTGAATTCCACTTCATTTTCAAAGTTCTATGAATCACTGGCACACATCAGAATTAATAATCCCACCTATTAATAACAAATATCTGCCTAAATGAAGGTCTATTAACAACAGTTTTGTACCTTATATTTCATACTTCAGCTATTTACAGTACTTGAAAAATATGAGAGATGAGGATGATATCTGGGGCATTCTACCGAATTAGTACAAAGTGCGGTCCCACAACAAGAAAAACTATTTAACAAAACAATTAAGTATTCAGACATAGATATTTACTAAGAATATGTTATGGTCTATTTAAACATAAGGCATTACATTATATAGTGATAAGCTTAATATATACAAAAACATCATTTATAGGGTACTTTCTATTGGGAAGTAGCTGTCCCCAACCCTGACATCTATTTCAATTTCTGTAAATAACACTTAAAACACATCTGTTCCAAAATCTGAAAATCGGCGTGTAACCTTAAGAATTGTCACTACCGAACACATATTATCTTCAATTAAGTAAACCTTTTTGGGGTTTTATGCAAAGTATTAGGTTTTTATGTGTGTAAACCTCTTCAAAAATGTGTATGTTAGCCATGTACTTGCTAGCATTCTTTAGTTATGCTCAATTTAAGCTAGAATCGTCACTACCGAAACAGTCACTACCGAAACAGTCACTACCGAAACAGTCACTACCGAAACAGTCACTACCGAAACATATGGTTAAGTTTCGGTAATTGATATGATCGTTTCGGTAGTGACAAAATGGAATGGTAAGCAGGTAAATCCCACCATTTTGAAATAAATGTGTTTTAAAGTCTGAAAATCAGTGTGTTACTTTAAAGTTCTCCTATAATACTATTTGTAGGCATATATTATAGGTCTCAGATATATAAAAAACATGTCTATGAAGTGTTTTGCTCAAAATACCAAACAGATCACCCATTCTCATTCCCCTCTATTTCAGCCTGTTACTAAAGGGCTGATTCTGGGTCAGTAGCTTCAAACATTCACACTTCACATAAGGCATGTTATGAGTTAAGATAAAGCAATAAGGTTGAGGGAATATGAAACAACCTTGAGAACAAAATACTGTGGTCACTACCGAAACAGTGGATGTTTTGCAAAAGATTAAGTATATTGAGTTATCAACTAAAATGATATGACACTGATTGGTTTAATGTATGTTCAATTTCAACAATCATCAACTCTGGAATCAATATGATCAGTATTATGCATTTTACAAAGAAAGTTTGCATTATGATTTTTATGAATTGTATAAATTGAACTTTGAAATTTGATTAAAAATTCACTTATATTAATTTAATTGTGAAAACCCTCAAGAAATGTTTGTTAAAATACTATTTAGAGAAGGGAAGGTAAAACAATCTTAACAGGTTAATATAATACTTTTTTACTACAGTGTATGTACTATGTTTCGGTAGTGACCATTTTTGGTAGAGGAAGAACATTCCAATACAGTCTGAAAATACGATATCAAAATGTACGGTTATTTTACTAGATATGTCTAATTTAGATATGGTACAAAATATATATGGACAAAGTTTTGGGAAAAAAACATACACATTTTCAAAACATTTCCAACCTGACTTTGGTCCAATTCGGTAGAATGGTCCATCTACAAGGTAACAAGTGTAAACATCATTGCATCCTTTTAGGTGCTTTTGATTTGTAAAACATATCAAAAACAAGGCATTGCACTGTAAAAAAGTGACACAAGTGTCTTGTTTTAAGTGCAAGATATTCTCCCTGTCTGCACAGTGTGCGTGTGTGTGGGCGGAAGCATTTTGGTGCTAAGACAACATGCCAGGAGGTGTGTTAGTCCTCCATTAGCCAGTGTTGTCAATGTCAGCAGGTTGTGTTTCGTGTTAGTGCTGTTCAACTTGTTCTTCACGTGTTGGGCTGAATTAAACCCTCCCTGTAATTGTCCAAAATAAGACGTACGGTGTTTTGTTCATGGTGTCTCCAAGTGTCCTCCCTACTTCCAACGGTTTGTTTGTCATCGCCCTGTTATGCCACCTCTGCTCAGAAATGACATTTAAACATAAATAAAAGCACGTGTTTACAGGGAGGACATTTGGAGAGATGGAGTAAAGAAAGCCACCTACTTGTTTTCTTGTCGCGATTCTTCTTGTCTAGCTCGGTCCAGTTGAAGTGCCAGCCTGTCAGGACTGCCCGGTATCTTTTACTCCCGACCCACACAGTAGACTCCAGCTTCAAATCCGTCTCCATCTGGAGAGGCGCTTCTCAGTCACAGCGTCGCTCTTTCCGGTTTATCAAAACACTCTTGTGATCACATTCAACACCCATAACTTTGTCATCACTGAGAAATACAGGCAGGTTGGCAATCTGATCTCGCCATTAATTTACTGATTATTCTGAAGTTCCTTCTTCCAAGACACATAAATCCATTGTTCCTGCTCAATGTTGTCGACACCTGCCAGGCACACTGCTGTTATTCTCGAAATATTCGTTTCCTCTTCAGTCCCTCCCTGGTGACACCTGCTCGATTTGCATGTTGCACTGTGATTGGATGCAACGCAGCAACTGTACTAAAGTATTAGCTTAAAGCCAGAAACTCCAGTGTACTCCTTGTGTTTCCAGTTCTTTGCTCAAATAGTTTCATCGTAAATATTTCCTGTATGTGTTTCACTCATAGACTGTATATATAAATTTCACTATGGGAAATGATACTAAGCTTCTCGTTTAAAGGTGCACAGTAACCCAGAAAGAAGTGTCAAATATTTAATTGAGTGTTTCTATTTAGCATATTACATTGCCTAGGGACAGAAATATTCTTCCAATATTGTATTATTTTCTGTAATGTGGGAATGGGAGCAGAAATAAAACTCAATGTGGAATCTGATGAACTTTCTAAGAATTCAAAGATGTAGTTATGAATTCAAAGTAATGACTTGAAAACCAAAGGGACTGACTTTTAAAGCACATGAAAAAACTGTGTCTTGAAAATGCTGCTGGTAACTGGCAGTTTTTGTGTACACGAAAAAATATTAGATTTTGAAAATATTTTTGAATATGGAGTGTAGCATCTTGAATAACATTACACTGTGTTTAGTGTTGTTTGAGGGTGTTGTTTTAAACTCTTCCTCGTAAACTTCCTGATAAATCAACATTTTGTTGGTAACTTTGTGTATATGACATTAATTAAATAATAAACTATTAAATTCAGAAATAGATTTATGGTAGCATAGGTTCAAGGTAAACATACATTTGCATACACGGGACAGTAGTTTACATTTCTAGTTTTGAGTTCCAACCATAGCCAGATTAACTCACTAGGGGGCATCCTGGGAAAGACATTTAAATAGGCCCTCACAGAGACACCACCAAAACCTGATCCTCAGCATTTTAAATATTGTCAGAGCTTTGGACAATTCAACTAAAGAAACTATGCTGTCCCCAAAAGCCTCTGCAACAATAGAGGCAACAGTGTATATTTTTTAGACCTGAACGAGTCAGAATTCAGTCACAAAATGAATGCTTTAACACTTGACTTTGGTTGTTGTGAAATTTCTTATAGAAAAGGAAGTATGGGTTAATGACAACATGTCATGTAATGTAATGGTCAGCATACATAGACCAAACAAAACATGTAATTGTGTGAATATCCAAGGAGCTGTTTTTACTTTTTTTCCTTTTTTTCGACTGACTAGAAACCCAAGACATGTATCCATTTGGTTGATATTGTACCTTCGTGGTTGAAGGTTGAAACAATTCATTCTTGTCACATATAGAAACAGGGGATCCGGGGCCCCAGAGCAGTGAAACGCTTAGCCTAGTGATAATCCAGCCTAAACCTATGGCCTAAACTCGGCTCTAGGTTATAAAGAGTGCGGCTACAATCCACAATAACACATCCGGGTAACTAGATATATTAAATCATCCTTCAAAATAAAAGCGATGTATAGCCTATTTTCGTGCATCACGCTACTGTTCGAACTTTTATTGTGAAGTCCCAGCGGACACTGTGGCCGGAAGTGACTTTCGTTATTGTGGCACGCTCCTTCCTCCCTTTCCTTGCATGCTAGCTCGTCGATTTAGCTAGTTAGCGAGACAAGCCCTTTACAACTTTGGAGTATTATTATTATGAATTAATTGATCCGTGTAGTATATTTTATTTCTGTCTCCAGTCCAGATTACAAGCCAACTAACAAGATGAACATACGAAACGCAAGGGTAAGTGTGCTGAAAGCCTCTCGACAGCCATGCTGTTTCTACTGAGTTCACTGCTAAGCTAAGCTAAATGTTAAAAGAGCACAAGTATGGCCGGTTAAAGCGTTAGCATTGTGTCATGCATCTAAGTGACATCCAGTTTCTTTCTTTCAGCCGGAGGACCTTATGAATATGCAGCACTGCAACTTGCTGTGTCTCCCAGAAAACTACCAGATGAAATATTATTTCTATCATGGATTGTCCTGGCCGCAGGTGATTGACTGCAGTTTCCCATTTCTCATGTTCCTGCTAACACCAGTGCTACACAAACGCTGCTCAAAATCCTTAGTATATGTTTGACACTGTCTTTTAAATGTTTCAGCTCTCATACATCGCAGAGGATGAAAATGGCAAAATTGTGGGATATGTGCTGGCAAAGATGTGAGTATATGTTACCATATTTAAATGTTCACAACATTTTCACAAATTACACGTATAATGTTTTCCATAATAAACTAATGTGAAGTCTTAACAGGGAGGAGGACCCTGATGATGTCCCCCATGGACACATTACATCTCTGGTGAGTTTGAAGAAAGACACCTCTTAAATGTCCTCCATTATTTATATTACATGTTTTATAGTATTCAGAAATGGGCTTGCTTCTCTTGGACCAACCAAACCCATATCTTTGTCTTCCAGGCTGTGAAGCGTTCCCACAGACGTCTAGGCCTGGCCCAGAAGCTGATGGACCAGGCCAGTCGGGCCATGATAGAAAACTTCAATGCTAAATATGTCTCTCTTCATGTCCGCAAGAGGTAGATTGAAAGAACTTATTGTCATATGCACAATAACTACAGTGTAGTTCTGGTAATGACAATCTTAATTCACAGGCTCCTTTCGACAATGCAACACACAATGGTACTGTGCACTGTTGAGTTGCTGTGGACCTGGTTTCACTTTGTTTGGATACATTATTGGGTGGTTCCCTGTTTAAAAAAAATGTGCTCAGAAAATGACCGTGTCAGCTCAGCGCTATGGTTTTCAAGGTTTTTACCAATCTTTTTTTTTCCTCTCACTGCAGCAACCGGGCAGCCCTGCATCTGTACTCAAACACACTGAAATTCCAGTAAGTATTTTTTTGTTTCAACATAACATAATTGCTTTCATTGTAATGTATGTACTTTGTGTGGTTATATTACAGTTCGTTTAAATGAAAACTCGTTCTATAAAACATGGAAGAATTTATCTTTACTGTCACTGGGCAAGAGCAAGTGGTTCGGTTCAGGGCTGCATATCTATTTTTTCCATTTTGTTAAATGTTGGGCTTTCATGCCTAATAAAACATTTTACATATTCAGTTTTAAAACCAAACCAACACAAAACAAGTCTCTCATTTGTTCCCATTATTTGTACTTTATTTATCAAATTAGCCTTTGAATTATATTTTCTGTAAATGTTTGTTCCAAGCAGGAATTTCAAATAATGACCGCTATAAAATGATTTTGGGGAAACGTTTTTTTATTTAATAATGTATTTTACCTTAAACATTACAAATCAGTATACACTGTCATCCATTTTATTAATAAATGACATATATGTTGCGAAATACTCACAAAGGACCTGACACCTGCATTCTTAACAGCAGCTACGGCACTTTTAGATAGTTGTTCGAAATGATGTGATATATTGTTATTCCTCCACAGGATCAGTGAGATTGAGCCTAAATACTACGCAGATGGGGAAGATGCCTACGCCATGAAGAGAGACCTGGCCCACATGGCTGATGAGGTAACTACCCTGTCTGAGTTTATCCACTATGGCAACACATGTTGGCACAACATTTACATCATTTTCACAGGCCCCTTGTTACCTCATGGAACGATTAACTCCCCTAAACTCGCATGAGCAGTTTCTAATGACGATTGTGTTTTTTTTGGGTCTACATGTCCCACAGCTGAGAAAGCCTGGAGCGCGTGTTTCGGGCCCAGAGGCCCCATCAGGCCAGGGCCCGGTCGGTACCGGTGACCAGGAGAAGGAGAACGAGAAAGACAGCGGAGGAGAGAGCAAAGAGCTGAGTGAAGTCAGCGAGGCGACGGAAAGCACAGACGTTAAAGATTCTTCTTCTGATTCACAATGACGCTGCAGTCCTAGACATTTTTAAATTCATGCCTCACTTCCTCTTTTTATCTCTATTTGACAATATCTCTGGCTTAACAAACTGCGTGACTATCCCTGGGTCAAAGCCTTAACCATCACGTTTTTTTTCTCAAATCTTGCTTTCCACTGCAGTGATGAACAGGAAGACTTGGATAATGATGTGAATTGGGGTGTTCTCTAAATGAAACTAAAATGAAAAACTGGTGTCGATGTTTTAATTGGATTGCTGTTGGCATTACAAAAGTTGCCCAAAATTCTCTGAGAGTTAGAGAATTTCCAATGACTTGTGCTTTTCAAGTTTTCTCAATCTGGTCTCTTAAATATTTAAAGGAAATACTGCCAATAAATCTTTCAAATAATACTTTTCGCATTGCACTTATTTCATGAAGGATGTTAAAAGCAGCTTAGTTTTTTACTTATAAGTGTATTGCAATACACTCTGATAACAGTCAATTAAATGTGGAAAGAGTGAATTCTTGACCATAGGTCCACTACATTTTCTAAATACATTTAGTTTAAACGACACTTAATTGTAAACTCCTTTTTTACCAGTAACACCTACATGGCAAGTGAAGTGGTGAACGTGAAATTACACTTAAAATGATTACTTCTGTTGTATATATTATACAAAGTAATCACGATCCATGGGTAAGGTTTTCCATTGATAGTAAAAAAAGAAAGGCTTTCAGAAAGCATTGCATTGGCTTAGATGGGCTGAAAGCAGCAGAATGGTTTAGTTTCAACTTGGTGGTTACGTTTTTTTACAAATAAAAACTTACCATATTCTGATATAAATAATAATGCTACATATACGGGGTTTAAGATAAATAAAAACATGCTACTGAACAAGTCAGGTTGAAGACTGCAGTGAATGTAATGTGCGACCTCTAAACATTAACCATCCTTTTTAAATTGACCCAACAGTGAGCATCTCAGACACTGTAGAGGTGATTTAATGTTAACCCGTGTTTCAAAGTTCCATAATAAAGCTTTATAAATATAGTAAAATAGGCAAACGATGGATAAAACTACGACTAGAAACAAAATGTAAATTGTTTTTGTTTTTTTTATCACCGATTGCACATTCTCCTCCTGTCTGATAGAGGAAGGAAACAGGAGTTAGAGAGAAGTGCATGACAGATAACAGCCTACTATGCAAACTATGAAATAGCTAATTTTCACACCTTCATGCTAGTTTAACACTTTTCATCAAGAGCCAACGCTGCATGCTGTTGTTAAAAAAAAAAAAAAAAAAACTTGCATAGTAGTGCGTGTGAGTATGAGACCAAATGTTAAGCACTTGATTTAATGCTATCAGTTTGTGAATAGGTACATGTTTGCATACAGTGTAAAAGACTAAAAAGGCAATATATAAATCATAACTCATAAACTGTGTGGTCTTAAAATATGTAAATTGTGTCCACCAGTCTTCTGCTCAAACAAGTATTCATTCAGTATTCATTTCCCCCCCCACTCGACCACTATAGCAGCTGATTTCACTGAGTAGTCTGTGAATACCCCAGCAGAGGGACTAATCAGTGAGAACAGCTGGTGTTTGATTGGACTGAAACCTGCTGCAGAGTTCAAGAAGAAGTCTGAAGAACTCAAACAGGTTTTCACTTTTGACACTAGCACAGTTGAACACTAATGCCTCAAACTGAATGTGTGAAAAGAGTGTTGTGAAAGAGAGCAGTGGGTGTGTGTGTGAGTGTGTGTGTGTGTCAGCCAGAGAGAGAGAGAGAGAGAGAAAGTCGGAGAGATGAGTTCCTCTCCACCCACATCCATCCGTGTCCAATGCGAGGGGGAGGTGAAACAGTTGAGAGCTTACTGTGCTATTAACTGGCATCATTTAGTTGCCTCAGTCTGGAGAAGAGACTAGTGAAGACTGCTCTCCCGTCAGGTAAGAGTCTTATTTACCAATGTTTTCATTCACTGACCTGTCTCACCCCAGCAAGACTAGTTGCCACTTAAAGTCCAATAAATGTGTTCACAGTGTTGTTGATGAAGGCTTGTTAGAAATTGCCCTTAGGACATCAACGGCTCCTATAGTTCAGCCCGGATATGTGTTTCTACTTGTCAGAATCAAACAGAATAACACCTGAAGAACCAGTTGAATTTCTATTATAAAGTAAAGCAGCAGAGGTGGTGATTCATTGCTGATCACATAGAGAAAGAATGAAAACGACTAATGGAAAATTATGACATGGGCTGGCAAAGTGAGCCACTCTCCTTTCTGTAAGGAGTTTAGAGTTTGTTGTAGTTCAGCAGGTCAGTTGGTATGTCTCCCTTGGAAAGAAGTGGATGGTGCACAGTTCAGCTGGAGAGAGTGCTGATGAGTGCGTTTGCTTTAAAGAAAAGGGAAGTGGAAGGGTGAAAAGAGAGAATGTGCAAAGGATTATGATCCAGCAAGAAACTCTTCCCCTTTCAGTATTGTGTTAAACGGTGTTGTAATAAATGATATCTTGCAGACATCTGCAACTAAATTGTTGTTCATCAATACTTTCAAGGCCTGTCAGATGACCGTTTGTTTGGGAAAATCTTGTTTTATTTGTTTATCCAGTCTAAGGATCTAAGAGTCAGACACTTAAATGTACCTTATTTCTTAGGGTCATCTAGAATATAAGTGAAAAGCAGCTGAATTAGCTGTTTTATTCAATATAAATGTGGGATATAGGACGAGTCCATCAGTTAACTCCCAAACTGAGAACAAACATCCCCACAGGGTTGTACGCCTTGTGGTTCACACTATTTTTAGGGCAGCAGAGATGTTGCTGGAGCTATTTTTGCCCCTCATGCAGTTCTGCAGCGTGACCGGTGCAGCAGGCAGCACATGCTTTTTCTATTTGCCTGCCGTTCAGCAAAGCATTGCAGCGGGTGACCAGTTTGAAGAGATGTGTTACAGTAAGATGAACATGCTGGTTTCATTCTTTCTGTGGCAGGAGGAAGTTAGCATGGTCTGTGGAGGGAGGGGTGTGTGGTTTCAGTACTAAGAGTGTGAACGTTTGTAGAGGCATGCTTGGGTGCAGCAGTGGGTCACAGGCCTTGATTCTATTTTCTTACCAGTCTTTGTCAAGCAAGGAAGATCAAAATAGAGTGCAGCCGTGTGAAGTACGCTATGACTCTGCAAGGGAGGTTAAAATGAACAGCTGATATTTCATAATTCATGTTGAAATAATATAATATGTATTCCCTTTTATCCAGAATTCCACCCAGTTGGAGCAACAATGACTTCACATGTGAAACTCCGTAAGGAACGGGTTGTTGTGATCGACTACGACACTCAAATCAAAGGTAAAATCCTACTTTGCACCATACTAACAACCTCTCAAGCTTTGTCACAACCCACCATCACTGTGATCAACATGTCGGGGGAGAAATCCGTTTCTCACCAAGAATGAGTCATAACTCTCTTGTATGTGTTTCTCTTTCTTTGCCTTAACTGTTATCTTTCACCCCTTCTTTATTTCCTGTCAGAGGTGCGCTGTCAGCTTGTGGACCAACTCAAGGTGTTAGATTTGCAGCTTGAGCAGAAGAGCCAGCAGCTGCAGGACCTGTCAGACTACCTGCGGCGGCGGGGGGAGATTGAAAGCGAGTATGCCCGCTCCCTAGAAAAACTCACTGAAAGGTTCACGTCTAGGATCAAGAGGTAAAGGCAATCCTACAATTTACGCACTTTACTGGCAGGGCACACCTAGCTGTATCTCAGTCACTGATAGTTTTTTCCTTCTTTCACACATGATCAGGAAGGATCCCAGCAGTCACTCAGTGGCCCAGGTCTGGCTGGCTCTGCTGTCCCAGACCCGCCAGGAAAGTAGGGACCACAATGCACTGAGTGAGCGCTGCAGCAGCTTCCTCACCCAGCCCCTCACACACTGCCTGGAGTACACACAGCGCCTTGCCAAGAAGGTACTGATATGAGCTTTGGCACCCACTCCACACAAACCATAGTCTTAAGTGTTTGGAACAAGTGTGTACCTGTACAGGCAAATACTTTACTAATTTATTTGTCTCACTCTTCCCCTTTTTATTTCTCTTGACATTAAAAGAGGCTAACTATGTTCCTTCCTTGTTGTGCCATTCTGTCTGTCTTTAGAGTAAAGACGTCTGTAATCAGCTGCAAGATGGACTACTCAAGGTTACCACTGAGCTACAGACCGTAAGTGAGAAACCAACCACCCCAAACATTTTCTGTTTCCTAAACAAACAAAGGAAAGCATTACTGTCTTTGTGCAGGCATGGCGGACATACTACCAGTACCACACCGAATATTTGTGCGCAGATGGAAAGCTGAAGGAGGCAGAGAAACAGGAGGAGAAGCAGAAGCAGAGTGCTAATAAAAAGCTGGAGAGGTTGATAGAAAAAGTAAATGACATTTTTATGTAACGTTACATTCCTGCATGTCCCTATATGTCTGTTTGTCCTCTAATTGATTAATGCTTATTTGCCACAGAGACAAGGAAAGGTCAAAGAGATCAACCTAAAGTGCAGCAAAGCTCGAAACGATTACCTCCTAAACTTGGCTGCAGCCAATGCCTCCATGAATAAGTACTACCTCCAGGACATCTCTACTCTCATAGATGTGAGTGCATCATCAGCTTTTGCCTTTAACCACCTTTAAATGTGTTTGATGCTTGATGTGATAATAGACCAGATGCCATGGTGTAAAGGAATACTTTACTCACAGAGATGACTAATGGTATAGTAATTACTCCTTGTGTCAGCTTGACTTTTGGAGAAAAAAAAAACATGTTCTCTCCTGCTTCCAGGATGAGAGAAATCAAAGTAGGTCTAGGTGATATTGACTGAAATGGATGTCCTCCCTCAGTGTGCAGATATAGGGTACCACCTCTCTGTAGGCCGAGTGATGAAGGCCTACCTGTCCAGTCGGTGCCAGACCCAGCAGAATCTGAGCTCAGGTCTGCAGCAGCTTCAAGGCACCGTGTCTGGACTGGACCAGAGTCAGGACAGAGACCTCCTCCTGCAGGATCACTACAGCACCTTCTGTTTGCCGCTCCGCTTCCCCTATCAGCCCCATGACGGAGACCAGGTCTGTATTCTGCCAGTGGGCATTCAGTAGAGCATTCAGATGTTCAGTATGAGCTCTAAACTCTCCTGTGTGTCTCAGGTGTCCGAGGTGAGTGCAGAGGGTGAGATGAGATGTGAGCTGGAGACCCGATTCAAACAGATACAAACCAGACTGAAGTCCGTTTCCCAGGAAACAGAGGAGGTAGAGTACATCGCACAACCCATTGAAACTCACAATCGCCCTTTTTGGGTCTACCGAATCTACAAGTGTTATTTAACCCACGCCTGCATCCAGAGTTCATTCAAGGCTGTAAATCAAATGATTTGTTTTCTTGT